TGGCTCAGGCCTGTAATCCTAGCTACTCAGGAGGCTGAGATCTGGTTCAAAGCCAGCCCAAGCAGGAAAGTCCATGAGACATTAATCTCCAATAAGCCACCAGAAAACCGGAAGTGGCACTGTGGCTCAAGTGGTAGAGCGCTAGCCTTGAGCTGAAGAGCTGAGGGACAGCGCCTAGGCTGAGTTCACGCCCCACAACCGACTCAAAAAAAAAAAAGAAGTCTAGAAATATATTGGAGGGCTGGGAAAGTGGCTCAGTGGTAGAGCACTTGTCTTGCAAGCCTGAGGCCCTGGGTTCAATTCCTCAGCACCACATAAGCAGAAAAAAAAAGCCAGAAGTGGCGCTGTAGCTCAAGTGGTAGCGTGCTAGCTAGCCTTGAGCTGAAGAGCTGAGGGACAGCGCCCAGGCCCAGAGTTCAGGCCCCACGACCGGACAAAAAAAAAAAAAGAAACACTGAACTAGTACACACTGAAAACCTTTCAGGGTGGAGTTAATGCACATGTTAATTAGCTTAAATTACAAATAACTTTCTGTTCATTAGTAGACTCTATAAAATGCTTAGATTTGGGGGCAGGTGGCTCATACCTATAATTCTAACTACTGAGAAGGCTATAGACTGAGTAGCATGGTTCTAAGTCAGGCCAGACATGAAAAGTCTGTGAGACTCTTGTCTTCAATTAACCACCAAAAACACTGAGAAGTGGAGCTGTGGTTCAAGTGGTAGAGTGTTAGCCTTGAACAAAAAAAGCTCAGGGACAACGCCTAGGCCCTGAGTTCAAGCCAAAGGACCAGCACAAAATAAAAATACTTAGAAAACATATCATTTTAACCTCATATTAACCTCAGTTTAACCTGTTTAACCTCAATGCTATTTTCAAATTATTTCTTTTTATTTCCATTTTCTTCCCTTCCTCCATTTTAGCCTACCACTATCCCAATATAAACAAAGCACTTCTGCTCCAACGCAAATATAAACAAAGCACTTCTGCTCCAATGCTAACCAGCTTTATTTAAACTCAGTAAGTGTATATTACACGTTTGAACAGTAGTATATAACATTTCCTAATGGAAAAGAACTTTGTTTCAAACACTAGATGTGGTTGCTCACATCTGTAATCCTAGCTACTTAGGGGGCTCAGAACTGAGGACTACAGTGCAAAGCCAGTCCAGACAGGAATAATCTACGAGATTCTTATCTCCAATTAACTACCAAAAATACTAGATCTGGAACTCTGGCTCCAATGGAAGAATGTCAGCCTTGGGCAGAAATGCTCAGGGACAGCACCCAGGACCTATGTTGAATCCCCAGGACTGGCACCAAAAGAAAAAAGAATTGTTTCATTATCAAGATTAGCAATTGAGTCAGGTACTGGTGGCTTATACCTGCAATCCTAGTCACTGGAGGCTGAGATATGAGAATTGCAGTTCAAAGCCAGCCTGGGCAGGAAAGTCCCCAAGATTTTTTTTTTGGGGTCCGGTCGTGGGGACTGAACTCTGGGCCTGGGTGCTGTCCCTCAGCTCTTCAGCTCAAGGCTAACACTCTACCACTTGAGCCACACTGCCACTTCTGGCTTTTTTCTTTTTGCTTATGTGGTGCTGAGGAATCGAACCCAGGGCCTCAGGCATGCAAGACAAGCACTCTACCACTGAGCCACCTTCCCAGCCCCAAGTCCCCAAGATTCTTATCTCCAATAAACTATTCAAAAATAGCCAGAAGTGGTGCTGTGGCTCAAGTGGTAGAGCGCTTGCCTTGAGCATTAACAGGTTCAGGGGCAGTGCCCACGCCCTAAATTCAAGCCCTAGGATGGGCAAAAAAGAGAGAGAGAAAAAAGAAAGGAGAGAGAGAGAGAGAGAATGACAACATTCATGATTTACTGTTGCATTTTAAAGTAGGATTAAATTAGCCGCCTAGTTCTCAGCATTTTGCTAGTTCCCAAGTACTATTTCTTGAAATTTTTAAATCTAGTATGTGCAAGGTATACCAAAAAAGAAAAGAATCCTAAAATTCTAAGACACAACCCTGAGACTTGGTCAGCACAATTTAAGACTCACTTGTTGCCAAAGAACCGTGATTGACCCTTGAGCACTTTCTGCTAGTCTGTAAATGGCAGTACTTTACCCAAACTCATAGAAAGATAGTTCCTAAGCACAGACCATCATTGCCAAAACCCTTAAAGCTGTCCCTACTAGACAAATTCCACCAGAGGAACCAAATCACAGATAATTATGTACTTCAAAAAACTCATCTCAGGGCTGGGTATGTGGCTTAGTGGTAGAGTGCTTGCCTAGCACGCATGAAGCCCTGGGTTTGATTCCTCAGTACCACATAAACAAAAAAAGCCAGAAGTGGCCCAGTGGTTCAAGTGGTAAAGTACTAGCCTGCAAAAGAAGCTCAGTGACAGTGTCCAGGCCCTGAGTTCAAGCCCAGGACTGGCACTCTCTCTCTCTCTCTCTCTCTCTCTCTCTCTCTCTCTCTCTCTCTCTCTCGCTAGGTGTAATTCAAGCCCAGGACTGGCAAACGCAAATGCAAACACACAAACACACACACACACACTCTCTCTCTCTCTCTCTCACTAGATGTGATTATGGTAAGTACTGGATAGCTAATCAGCAGGAACTATTAGCAGTCAGAAGACCACAGAAGTCATGCTAGATAGACTTAGGCAAATTATTTTACTAACCTGTTTCCAGTTCCAAGGATCTAGGTAGGTTCCTATCTATACAAGGAATAGCACTTTTCACCTATTGTCTTTCAAGGATTTTTGAGAACCAAACAAGCATGAAAAGAGTTGATTACTTCCTGTAATCAACTATACTTTAATTAAAAAATACTATTCTGAAATAGGTTACCATACAAAGGGATAAATATGAAAGGCCAAATTTCTGCAAAAGAATCTTCCATTGACTCCAAAATGATCCAGCCTCCCCTGCATATTTCACAACTGCTTGGCACCATTCTTAGGAAGGGGGGGGGATACAGAATTTAATTATACTTTCCTTTTCCAATCCCCTAATCCCTGGAAACATAAGTAAACATTTTTCTTAACTCCTTAGTGGAAAAAGAAGGGTGCCTTCAAGTCCTGTGGTTTCCAACAATGTCCTCTTAAACTAGTCTCCCTCATTCACTTCTTCCACGCCTCCACATTCTTCACAAAATTACCTTTTCTAAAGCCACAGTCTGACTCACTACACTGCCTATAATCTTAACTGTCTTCCCTCTGCTTTTGGAGAAAAGTCTGTCTGAGACTGACCCCAGTCTCACATCACCTCCCAACTTTTCAACCACAGCAGCCTCCCTGCAATCCCTCAAAATTGTAGACCTGACATTGGCAGTTCTCTCAGCCTGGAAATGTTCTTTTCATTGTATACCTTCACAGACCCTTGTCCAGCTCCTTCTCATTTCTTAGGTCAAGTTATATACTCAATAAAGACTTCTTTGAGTCTTCCATAAGGGTCATATTCCCAGTAAACTCTTTAACGACTCTTATTCCTTCAAATCACATTTCACATGTGCATGATGATTATGAAAAAAATTATCTTCTCCATTTGACTATAAGCTTCAGACTATAAGCTAAGAGACTCTGCCTGTTTTCTAAACCTAAGAATTGCAGTACAGGTATATGGTATGCACTCAATATTAGTTGAATTAATAAGTAAATGAGTATAACTCAAAAAAGTCCTTATCACTAGACCTCAGCTTTATCTCCCACCTAAGCACAATGCCACCCACCACAAACTTTCATCCCTCATCTTCAGACCTTCAAATCCTGTGACTTTCACTGCTTAGAAAGTTCTCCCCATTTCTTTCAAAGGGTTCAAATTCCACTGGCTTAACCAGGACCCAGCTCACATTTTCTTTCCTACAGGATATTTTCTCCTGTGCCAGTTCACATATCCCCCACCCCATTTGTGCTTTCAAAGCACTTTGCACTTTTTTTAAAAAATAATTATAACTTCACACTACTTTCAAGGTTTTTTTGTTTGTTTTTTGTCGGTGGAGGGGCCTGAACTCTGGGCTTGGGCACTGGCTCTCAGCTCTTCAGCTCAAGGCTAGCACTCTACCACTTTGAGCCACACCGCCACTTCCAGCTTTCTCTGCTTATGTGGTGCTGAGGAATCGAACCCAGGGCCTCATGCATGCAAGGCAAGCACTCTACCACTGAGCCACCTTCCTAGCCTATACTTTCAAGATTTTTGTGTGAAACTTTTCTTCTAAACATGTGAACTCCGAATGTCTGGATACGTGTACCCTACTCCACAACTCCCAAAGCAGTGCTGAGGACGGAGTTCTCACTGAGACACTCGATTTTTCCCTAGCATACCAATTTTTTCCTCTGAAAAGAACACTGCTTCCTTCTTACGCCTTTGCCCAACAGGTGATTCAATTTGCCTATGAGCCTCTCCCAGTAAGTTCCTTCTCTGGGCTTTTTTTTGGTCTCCCCCTTCCCCACTCTAACACGAAGTAATATGAGTTCCCTGCCTCAGTGATGGTTGGTCCTCTGTCTGTAGTGTGGGGCTTTTAAGCCTTTAAAACTGCCACCACCACCCCAACTCACGCGCGTGCGTACACCCAAGGACGACCACTGAGCTAGCTGTGACCTCTCAGACACCCCCCAGATCCTCCCTGGGCCACTGTCACTTTGCAACCCCTCATCAGGCGGCGTGGATTCGTTATGATCTCCCCTTCCCAAGAAGAAACGTCCCAAACCTCTGAGCTTCATTTGGCCCCAGCTACTGAGTGATCCCCAGTGCCCTTTCCTTTTTTCCCTCCTTCCTCTTCCCTAGAGCGGAACCCTAGGCCAGGATTGCAGGCAAGGAGCACGGCAGTGTGAAAGCGCCCACAGCCAACTGGCCGGCTCCAGCTGCAGCCGCCAGTCCCGCTCACACGTCCCCACCCCCCACCCCACCGCCGGCCCCCAGCTCCCGTCCAGGCGACGAGAGCGGCACCAGCTCCGGCCTGGCCAGGGCTCCCCTCGCGGGGCGGCCATCGCTCACTGACCCAGGAAGGTGTCAAACGAAGAAGCAGCCGCAGCAGCAGGTGTAAAGGCAAGCAGCCTGACAGACGTTAACGGCTCAGCGCTCCATCCCTCCTGGACCTAAGCTCCGGCCTCTCGACTTCCTCGACCCCGGGCGCCCACAGAGCAAGTCACGTGCGGGAGGAAGCAGTCAGCTGACCGCGGTGTGCGGCTCTCCGCCTACGTGCGCGCCATTGCGCAGGCGCGGCTCTGAAGGGCGGGGCTAAGAGAGTGCCGGAGGCCTGGCGGTTCCGGGGTGGGCGGGGCTCAGGGGCTCCCCGCCTCTCAGCGTCTCTGCGTGCGTGCGTGCGTGTGTGCGTGTGGGTCGCCTCCCAGAAACGTCACTCCCCTCACCCCCATCCCTGTCCCCTTTGGGCTTTCTGCAGGTAAGGGCTTCTCTCCGTCCCTCTGCCCGGGCTTGTCCAGCGGAATTTGGGGGGGCAATTTACCTGGGAGTGCGCTTCACCTAGTTCTGCCTAGTTTCCTAATTGCCCCTGGATGGCTGACCGGGCAGCATTGAGTTTGTTTTTAAGAATTACCTACCGGAGCAAGTTGCCCTTTGCCACGAACCCTTCCTTGTCCGCTTCCCGAGTGTGCAGAGCATGTGGTAAACACACCGAGCGCGAGCCACATCCCATTTGGGAAACCACGGAAGGCTTCAGGACAGGCAAGGACCAGGGAAAGCGTTGTCCTTTAGGGAAGGGGAAAGATAGAGTAGCAAGTCGCTGTTCTGAAATATCCTTATGGTGTAAGGTGGATAATATAGGTGCCACTGTTCTTAGAACAAAAGATCTTGAGATTTTTCTCATTAAACCTTTTAGGTTTGCACTGGTAATTTGTGTGTGTGGGGGGGGTGTAGATCCTGGGGCTTGAACTCTGGGCCTGAGTGCTGTTCCTGAGCTGCTTTTGCTCAAGGCTAGGGTTCTATCTCTGGAGACTGGGCGCTATACGATTTTTTTTGTTTGTTTGTTTTTGTTTTTTTTTTCTGAGTAGTTTATTGGTGATAAGAATCTCTTGGACTTTCCTGCTGGGGCTGGCTACAAATCATAATTTCAGATTCCAGCCTCCTGAGTAGCTAGGATTACAGGCATGAGCCACCAGTGTCCAGCATGCACTGGCAATTTTTGACATTAAGAGTCTTGATTCCTTTCCAGCCTTGTGCCTGAGTCACAATCCTATTTTTTTTCTTCCCTTTGTAGCTAGACTGACAGACATACACCACCACACCCAAGTTTTTCCATTAAGATCCAGTCTTCGAGTTTTTCTACCCAGGCTGACCAGCCTCCCACATACTTAAGATTACAGGTAGGAGCCACCAGTTTAAATTGATCACTCTTGAAGATAACACGTTCATTCCCATCATTTTCCACAGTAAGGTAAAAACTTAGTTGGTCATCAGTTAACAAAAAAAAAAGTTCTAGGGCCTCAGGAGAGATATTTAAATAGGAGAAGAGGAGTATGGAAATGAAAATCCATATTCTAGAGAGGAGCCTCACAGAATGGAGTCACACCAACAATAAAATTCATGAAAGAAAATGGGAAAGTGTTTCAAACAAATAGTATTCATTTTATTCACTCTCTTATAATATTAAAGCTATCTTGAAAATTGGTTAAGGTAATCCCTCCCAGGAAAGAAAGTGTACTTGTTTAGGGAAATACTTTGGTAAACTAATAGGGTGGAGAAGATTAACTCAGCTGGGATAAATGAGACAAAAAGGCAAAACAACTAAACTAGACTTAGTGAAAAGGAGCTAGAATTGGTGTGTGGATGGGTGGAGAAAGGCATGGAGAAGTGATGGAAAGAGATGAGAAAAACAAAAACATCCAAAGCCTTATACAAAAATTAAAAAACAGGGCTGGGAAGGTGGCTCAGTGGTAGAGTGCTTGCCTTGCATGCATGAGGCCCTGGTTTAAATTCCTCAGCACCACATAAGCAGAAAGGGCCATAAGTGGCGCTGTGGCTCAAGTAGTAGAGCGCTAGCCTTGAGCTAAAGAGCTGAGGGACAATGCCCAGCCCAGAGTTCAAGCCCACAACCAACAACAACAACAAAATTAAAAAACAACAAAAAGAAAAGCAGATTTGGTGCAGGATAAGGAAGTGGTGTTTCTGAAGAATGGCTCTTCAGGAGATACTCCCAGTGCATTGATCTTGAACTTCCTAGACTTCAAATTCAGACAAATAAATGCTTATTGGTTTAAAACAATAATTCTAGTAAAAGACAAACATTTAGAACTTCACCTGAGATTATTTTAAGTGCAGTATTGTAAATCTTTGCTATCTGCACAATCCTTTAATGAAATCTACCTCAACTGCTTTAAGTAAACTTTTTTTTAGTGTAAATTTGTGATATCCAAGTTACATCACATAAAGAGTTCTTCTGACGAAAGACAGTACTGAGACCGCACCAAAGAAGCAAAAAGAAAAAAAAATCAATTGTGTAAAGGAAAAAAATATACCACTAGCTAAAGTATGTGGGAAAATGTTTATACTTTATAGTGCTCAAAAAATACAAATACAAAAAATACAAATAAGAAAGTTGAAGATAGCAGAGAGTTTGTATATGGTATATTGTTTGGCTAAGCTTTTATAATGTCCAGCCTGAAAGATTGAGGTTGGCTAAGTTTAGGGTTCCTCTTCTGTAATGTGTCCCACTCCCTGTCCAGGCATCCACCAAAACCACATTAACCTGTAAGGAATTAAGGGCCAAGGGAGCTGATGGAAATCTGATGCTCAAGCTACTGACCCAAGAGACTTGTGTAGTACACAGCACCCATTAAGTCTGAAAAAACTAGGTTATAAGCCAGGTAAAATCGTAAACCCTAAACATTTGTTGACAGTTGCCCCATCACCATCGTCAGATGACTGAAAGCAATTTGAACACAAGGGAAACATTCCTATTTGATTATACATGTTCGATTGGATTAAAATGGACAAATAATTTAATAATTATAACTGGGCATAAGTGGCTCACATCTGTAATCCTAGCTGCTCAGGAGGCTGAGATCTGAGGATAATTATTTGAAGCTAGCCAGGACAGGAAAGTCTATAAGACTATTATCTACAACTATCAAAAGCTGAAATTAGAAGTGTGACTCAAGTTGCAGAGTATCAGCCTTGAGTGAGAAAGCTAAGGTATAGCACCTAAGCCCTGACTTCAAGCCTCAGTACCATGAAAATTACATATAATGACTTTGAGGCCAGAGATCAGGGTGATTTTGGCATAAAACTTTATCATATCAACCAGTTTTTGCCTGTTAGTTGAAAGAGAATGGGAACATGTTATCTGCGTCCATGGAAGTAAAACCATCATTGCAGGGGTGAAGATAAGAGATAGAGTGTTGTGGGGGTTGGACAGGTAAGCACTATCTATAGGATATAAGAGCCATATAGACTGATTAATAAAATACCCAAGGATGAAAGGAATAGACCTCAGGTATCGTATGAGAGTATAGGTAGAGGGCTGAAAGTGGAAATAAGTCACTCCAGGTCTGGCCTTCACCAGTAGTATTCTCGTCTTAGGCTGATCAGCAGCAAAAGGCATACAGGATATGAGAACTGGAGTACGATCCTCAAACAGAAGAGATGGGATATAATCTGAAAAGCACAATTAATATTACATTATCACTTTGGATAGGAGGGTTAGGTAGATACATGTTTAATACAAATTATAGGAACTAATCTCTGTCCAACATTCTTAGCATAAGGGCCAGGTGTTTTGGTGTACTCCTGTAGTCCCAGGTACTTGGGCAATGGAAGTAAGAAGATCACAATTTTCAACCAGCCCAGGCGAAAATTACATGAAACCATACCTCAAAGATGAACTAGAATAAAAGGAGCTGGGTGCTGGTAGCTCCTGCCTGTAATTCCAGCTACTCATAAGACAGATCTGGGATCACAGTTTCAAAGCCAGTCCAGGCAGGAAAGTCCATAAGACTCTTATCTCCAATTAATAACCAGAAAACTGGATGTGGAGCTGTGGCTCAAAGTAGTAGTGTTAGCCTTGGGCAGAAGAACTGAGGGATAGCGCCCAGGCCCTGAGTTCAAGCCCCACAGCCAACAACAAAAGGAAAAAGGACTGAAAGTGTGGCGCAACTGGTAGAGTGCCTGCCTACCTAGCTTGAGGCTCTGAGTTCAATGACCAATACTCGGGGCAGGAAGGGAAATCCTTGGAATAACTGATTCTTTGAAATAGGACATGAGAGTTCAAAGCCATGGAGGCATGGCTCAGGTGGCAAAGCCAGAAGGATGTTCATTTAAAGGGCTGAGTCCAGTTCCTGGGGTATGTGGAAGATGCTCAATAAAAAGGAAGGAGCATGGCTCAACAAAAGATAGGACTGTAGACACTATGTTAAAGGGACTGGAGAGTGGCGTGGGCTCCGTAATGACTCAGGTGGGCCTGGCTCTGCCAGTGTGCTAATTTATGTGCAGCTCAATTGTCTCATCTATAAATTCCCCAACAGGCTTATTGGGAGAATTCAGTAAAATAATGTAATAATGCATTTAAGCAGGTACCTGGCACCAAATGACTCCCCTCAAAGTGCTAGTTATAATGATCATTATCATTTTTATGAATAGAATTGGAATACAAGAAAAGAAATTGGTATATGAAAGGATACTACCCAAGGGCCAAATAGGGTGGTACAGGCCTGTAATCTTAACAACACAGAAGGCATAGATAGGGGGATCTTGATCCTGGCCAGCCTGTAGGCAAAAGTATAAGACCCTATCTGAAAAATTAAAGCAAAAGGGACTGAGAAGGTGGCTCTAGTGGTAAAGCACTTGCCTTGAGAACTTGAAGCTCTGTGTCCAAACTGCAATACAGATGGGAGGGGAGACAATAAATAAAAAGATAGTAGCCAAGTTGCAGGTACAGAGGTACTTAGCTAGGCAGGTCCAATAATAATCATAAAAATCATCACCTCATTTCTCTGCTTTGGCAAGCCCTTAATATCCAGGAGAAAAGTCTGTTTGCAAAAGTTGGACACAAGTAGTATCTAAAGAGCTATGTAGGGGTTGGAGGCATGGCTCAGGTGGTAAAGCCAAAGTTCATAAAGGGCTGAGTCCAGTTTCTGGGGTATGTGGAAGATGCTCAATAAAAACTGGTTGAGGGGCTGGGAAGGTGGCTCAGTGGTAGAGTGCTTGCCT